TGGATTTATGAATTATTTTGGATACACAAGATATATTACATCACTTATTTATTTGTTTGTCACCTATTATATATATTTTTTGGAATTTATTAGCTTGTTATCACAGAGCACTATGAGTTAATAATGGCACTATGGTATATATATATAATTTATAGCGCTTCACTAATTTATAGATACATTATTTGATTACTTATTGGTTTAAGTCGAGTGACAGCAGCTTTTAATATAGGGACTCCATCTATATAAAGCGCAGGAGGATACCCCCAATCATCGCAGTCAGGCAAGTACCGTTCTCCTGGCAACCGCCAAACCCAGACACGTTCATCAGATTGCTCTAAAGTCCTGTGGCGGAGTGCTTTACCTCACTGCATCTGATGCTTTGCACTGACCCCGCTCTGTCATTTTACGTGGCCTAGCACTTTGTGGCTGAGTTGGTGTTCCCAGTTGCTTCCACTTTGTTATAATACCACTAACAGTTGACTGTGGAATATTTAGTAGCAAGGAAATTTCCTGAATGGACTTATTGCACAGGTGGCAACCTAGTACGGTACCACGCTTGAATTCACTGAGCTCCTGAGAGCAACCCATTCTTTTACAAATGTTTATAGAAGCTGTCTGCATGCCTAGGTGCTTGATTTTATACACCTGCGGCCATGGAGGTGATTTGAACACCTGATTCCAATGATTTGGAGGGGGTGTCCTAATACTTTTGGCAATATATTGTAAATATATATATATATATATATATACAAATCCTAACTACAGCTCCCTGCAACTAGCAAAATTTTTGGGACAGAAACATATGTACAAACAATTTACACACTATCAATATGCAATTTGTTTTTCAAATTAAGCACCTCCCTCCCCAAGCCCTCCCAGCAAAAACTGAAAAGTCACAAAGTCCCATATTTGTGTAGAAGAACAGCTGTCCTTGATGGACCTGCAGAAAGACAAAGAGGAAACACAGAACTTAAACTAACTAAACTATCTATACTGTCAGCTAGCAGGGGGTTATGATCCTGCTGGCAGAAAACATTTTACACAAGAGTCTCTGAAGGAGGAGCCCCTCCATAGTAACAGTCTCTTTAGCAGTGTTCTTACCACCACAAATTAATGGGCCATGCTAAGAAGAAAAAGGAAAAGGGACAGGTGGTATGATGTGACCCAACTGTTCAAACAAAAGGGATTTTCCTAAGCACTTTCACCAGTACATTTCTGGATTAGACAGTCTGATGACTTCTCCATTAGTACCCCGGTTGGCCACTGAGTAGCTCCTACTTAGCCATCTGGCCTTGATAATGACTACCCGGTTTTTGTAGATGGCCCCTCCTCAGCTCCACTCCATCTGGATGTCTTGGGACAGGGCCAACACATCTAAATTATGAGATCCCCTTTGAGATCTGGGAACGTGCAAGTAATCCTGGAGCATTTCGTCTTCCAAATGAAGGCGGGAGGCTTCAATGATTTCCATAACATCTTTAGGGACATAAGGAAAGTCCAGTCCTCATTCCAGTGTGGTTCTTCTCTGGATATCCTGCTGGAACATGGAGAATATGGGGAGCTCCCTGCACTTGCTCCACCCAGGCAAAACACAGTCCTGTGGAGAACGGGTGATCCACAGTTTGTAAGCCAAGTTCCGGGCTTCTTTCTTGCCCCTATTGTCCCATGGCCCCACCTGGACCTAATGTTGGGCATGGACAAGATCCGGTCAGTCTAGCTGCTGCTCATATGCACAGGGTAATGGTAGCTCCACTCCAGCCCATCCTGCCTAATCAGGGGTACTGGTCTTCTCCTCTGTCCTGCTTCCCCCTCAAGTAATTCCGTTTGCAGAATAGCAGTCTCCTGAGCGTCTCCCCAGTCCCATTCTTCATCCGACTCTCTCTGGGGAACACTCAGTCTCTGTTTCTAGGGGCTCAAACTTAGCTTCCAGTCTAGGAGACCCCCAATTGATCTCGCCTCCACTGTCACTCCCCTCTGGCTCAGCTAAGGACATACGGTCATCATGACTTGGCTCCTTCCAGGTGGGGCAGACAGGGCGAACTTCAGCAGCCAGCCTCTCCTGCGGGACAACTTAAGCTGGACTCGCAACGTTCACCTCCGGTTGTGGCTTTTCCTTCCTTCCTTCTGGGCTGCTGCTATCATCCAGTCTCTTCCACAAGAGTGGTGGTGGATACCTGATCAACTGTAGGTCTGCACACCACGCAACTCTTAACTTCCTCTCTAAGTAGATTCCTGACTTCAGGTCCACAGAATAGATGACCGGTGGCAGGGCAAAATTAACTATTCTGGAGAAATAATATTTCAGTGACTCTTTAATGACAATGTGTTTGTACTCAGCCAAATGTTATGGTCAGTATGGCACTAGCAACTGGAACAACAGTTTACTCATGTGTGCATTTTTATGTCTAGTATCATATGATATCTTCAGCCTAGGTCATGAAGCAACATTAACTTCTTTCAATGTTATCCTAGCATCAAACCATTTGTTGCAGCTGTTCTAGCACAGGTGGCATCTGACAAATGGAAAAAAACCTTAAGGAAGGACATTTGAGTTTTTTCCTTACATCAAAGCTATGTGATCATGAAGTAGCACAGTTCTTCCAAAATAATGTGTTACCAACCGTTTTTGTTATTCCATGGGACATTTCATACCTCTTTAGTTAAGCCAGTTTTTAATGTTTATCTCTAACCAAACCTTTGGTTTTGCACACAGTAGTGCAGTGTTAGAATTTTTATCAAGCTTTATTTTTTATCTATGTGTGGAATTGGGAAAATTTCCTGATACTGCTTGTTCCGGTTTCATGAAAAATGTCATCACTGTCACTATCAAACTGACAGTTATCACCAGAAAAGGTGTTCCCATCAAACATTTTCCTGTTAACTCCTGCTCTGATGGCAACTATACCATTTTAGATATCCCATCACTTTTTGTACAAGTGAAAATCATCCCCAAAACAGACAGAGTGGGTTATTCTCCCCAGCAGCATACATATTGCAAAAAAAAAAAAACTGCAGTAGAAATCTGATAGGGGTTCCAACCCTTCCCCATTCTATCTATATAGAAACATTTCAGTTGGAGTTTACCTTTGAAACACCTTGGCCACTTCAGCTGCCATACAGTACAGTTCAGACCAGGGCACTTCTTACATTTCTGCTATGGACCTTTTTATTCAGCAAAAACATTGTCATTACAATGGATAATAAATTAATACATATTTCATTTTTAGGACAAACAAGGTGTTCCTTTTGTGATATTGCCTTGCATTTGATGCAATCCATAGTCAAATATATAACAAAACTTTGAACGTTGTTAGTTTAAAAAAAGTTATTGCACACAAAAAGTATACAATTTATTCCAGAATGTGTCCTGTTTAAAATAACACGAAGATTATAATTTTTGTACAAAGCATTGCAAACGTAAAAATATTTATGGTTGAAAAAAAAAAAAAAAAAAAAACCCAGCATACAAAAAATTTTAAATAAATGTTAGACCCACGTTTGGGACCAAATATGTGTGGATAAAACCTTCTACCAATGGAAGAGTGGCTGCACCACTAATAAGGTACTATACCTTTAAATTACACATACTGCTATCCTAACCTATAAAATAAATATGGTTCTTTAGATTAGTCCATATCCTTGTTTTTCTTCAATCATTCAGAATGCGACAAACGATCATGCATTCTTATAGAGGTGCCAAGTGCTATTTCTTTAATTAAAGTGCAAATATGGTGCTCCCCTCTGGTGCTCCCACTCACTCACTAGAAAATGTGGACTCTTAGGTTGGGATAAGAGTCATATGCACTGTATAATGATGCTGGTTGGTCTGGAGCTTGTAGTCCTACTGGGTGGCTGTGTCCTATTTCTCACCACAATATACCATACCGATGTTGATTATGTGTGTATGTAAGGTGTAATATAGGAGATCCACATAGTGTAATTCCGTTTCACTGTAAAATCATCAAATTAAAACCATTGTACTTACATGTACAAAGAAACAACCAGCAAAACGTTGGACCGGAAGTTGCCTACCAGCTTGTTTCTCACCAGCCGGACATTATGTCACCAGCAGCTGTCATCTACTGCATTTTGCCCCTTCTCCATTGCGTTCTCAAAAAACTAGTTAAGAGGGAAGGGGAATTGGGCTTGATTGAGGTAAACTAAGGTTAATAGGGGTTAAATAAGAGCAAAACGTATTTTTTAAAAATTGCTTTAAGTAACATCATGCGTTGATTGAAGCTCATCCCTTTTAATTACAGATGAATGAAACAAAGATACAAAACTAACAATTTGTATCTCTCAGTGAATTCTGAACAGTGTTTGCAGTATTTTTGACAGCACACTTGCTGTCATTTTAGCAGTTGAGAATTGTTGGCCTTTGTGAAGTTGTGGGGGTTGGGGGAGAGGAATCAATAGAGAAGGTCAGGACTTAATATGTGTGTCCTGTGTACTTTCACCACTAGCCTACAGGGCACTTATACCCCCTTCCTGCCCAGGCCAATTTCCAGCTTTCAGCGCTATTGCACTTTGAATGACAATTGCGCGGTCATGCAACACTGTACCCATATGAAATTTTTATCATTTTTTTGTGACAGATAGAGCTTTATTTTTGTGGTATTTAATCACCTCTGGGTTTTTTATTTTTTCTTAAACAAACCAAAAACCACAGAAAATTTTGAAAAAAAAAAACGTTTTTTTTTCTTAGTTTTTGTTATAAAATTTTGTAATTAAGTGATTTTTCTCCTTCACTAATGTGCACTAATGAGGCTGTAGTAATGGGCACTGATAGGCTGCACTGATGGACACTGATAGGTGACATTGATGGGCACTGATGAGGAGGCACTGGTAGGTGGCACTGACGGGCATTGACAGGCATCACTGATGAGCACTGAAAGGCGGCACTCATATATGGCGTCACTGATAGTCGTCACTGAGAGGCGGCATTGACTGGCACTGATAGGCAGCACTGACTGGCACGGTTAGGCGGCACTGATAGGCGGCACTGACTGGCACTGATAGGCGGCACTGACTGGCACTGATAGGTGGCACTGATTGGCAGCACTGATAGGTGGCACTGACTGGCACTGATGGGTGACACTGAAATGCAGCACAGATGGGCACTGATATGTGGCATTGATGTGGCACTGATGAGCACTGAAATGTGGCACTGATGGGCACTGGCAGGTGGCATGGATGAGCACTGACAGCTGGCACTGATGGACACTTACAGGTGGCACTGCTGAGGCTACACAGATCATCAGGGCACACTGATCATCAGTGCTCTGATGATCAGTGTACATGTCCCCTCCGAGGAATGCCGATTACCGGCTCTCCTCTCCTCACGAGCTGTCAGCGTGACAGGTCGTGGGGAGAGAAATGCCGATAACCGGCATTTCCCTGTTTACATGTGATCAACTGTGATTGGACACAGCTGATCACATGACCGAGCCAACATCTTCGGCTCTTTCCGTTGATCAGTGATCCGCTGTGTCCGAGGGACACAGCGCACTGCCGATCGCCGTGCTGCGCACTCCCGGAGTCGCGCATGCGCGCTTAGAATGGGAGGACGTCATATGACGTCCTCCCAGAATGAGAGAACCGCCTTGCACCCGTCATTGTACTATATGGCGGGCGGGAGGCAGTTAAATAGTTTTATTTTGAAGTGTGTAGTACATCCAGTGTAAACTGTAAAGCTCAGCTGTACCCTAACAAATATCTTCAACTACTAAACCAGTGGTCTTCAAAATGCAGCCCTTTGCTGAGATGGCAACTGTCAGTATTCAGTTGGTTAGTGGGTGCATAGGTCTCTCTTACCCAGTCAAAGTAGTGCAGCAGATCGTAGAGGTCCGTCTTTCCCTTCAGACGGGTTCAGTCCATGGACTCTCTGGTTCAGACTCGGTGTCCCATCTGGTCTCCTGCTCTCAGATTGGCCTGCTGGGCCAATGTGGCAGACAAGTGGAAGGTAGGTTCTTTCTTCTTCTCTCTTCAACCCTGGCTCTGTGACCTAGTTCAGCACTTCAGCTGTCAGCACACCTTCTGCTTCAGTCTCTCCCTGCACTCTCCTAGCCAATATCCTGGGCTTTGATATTTTTATGCCCCATGCCCCTCCACATGCTACCTCTCTTGGGAAATGTAGTCCCTGACTGCCCTGCTCGCCAGCTGAATCCTTCTATACAGCATACAAGTTCCAGAGGGCTGTTCTGTCCATGTGAGTGACCCTGAATGGCAGGCCACTGCTATCTAAAGTCTATCTTAATGTACTGCAATTAACATTCAATGGGTTTCAAACATTTCAATGAGTTACAACTATCTAATTGCAGGCTAGGGGTGTGGAAGTGACCTGGTTGTATTGCTAAACAGTAACAGAAAACAAATCAGATCACCCACGAGGGCCTGCTTTCTGCTAGGGTTCATTCAGATGTTAATTTTACCACGCTCTGCAAAGTGATCCACAGTTGATCTATATTAATAGATGGAATAATAGAGGCTGACAGACATTCAGAAGGCCATACTGCCACCTCATGATGCCTGTTTTTGTTTTTTTCACTTTTTTTAAAATGCCAAATTACTATTTTAAATTGCACGACCACACCACAACTGGGAGCCAAGTGTTTGGCTCGCATCTGTGGTGTGGCCTCATTGATCTTTATGGGTAAGTTTGACAGGCAGTGTCACCTGTCAAAATCTGCAGCCCAAGTTAAAATTGTCGCAGCTCCAGCATGTGTACAGCCCAGTCAGGCTGTAAAATTTGGGTGGGAGGCTGTAGCTGGTACAACCAGCCACCTTTTATGGTTGAATGTACAGTGTCCATTGGGCCCTATTAAGATGACAAAATTTTCTAGCGAGACATATTACTGTAGGTCTTCTCTGGGTGGTGTTATGCCTAATTCCAGAAATAAGCATAGTAGCACTTCAATACTTAACACTATAATAAAAAATTCAATTTACAATATTTAATCCAAGAGAAAGGGGCAAAAAACATTTACTGAAGTATTTAGCTGCAAAATTATAAAAGGAAGTGTAATCTACTAACTGGAGAACAACTGGGGGTTCAGCCATTTTTTTTTTACTTAAAACCACTGAAGGCCACAGAATAGGAGTGAGAGGGACACATGCAATACATTAAACACTGGTTTGATATGCCTGGGCTGGACTTAGGTATAGGTATTTTAAAATGTGTTTTTTAGTTGGATGCCTGGAGTTCATTACAAAAATGCTAAATAAAGATGAGAGAGCTGTTATCTGCCTTTAGAGCTTTAAATTCTTATCTGCTTTAATCTTATACTATGAAGCATGTGTGCTGCATTTACAGCTTCTCCATGCTGCTACTTCTATTAGCAAAGACCACTATGTCTGCAAGTAGCTAGGGTCTGCCTCAGGCTGGTCTTTATTCTCAATGAGCTAGCCCAAGGCAGCAAGTCAAGCAGACTGTCACTGCATAAGGTTAACAGCATTGGGTTCTTGTGAATACATCCTGCAGACCATTGTAGGATCAGAACAATTACATACATATCAGATCTCCGATAATATTTTTATGCTAGAAGGACAATATGCCCTTTAAACATTACAGTGATTTAAATCTTCCTATTTGCCAAGTCTTTTGACCCAAAAATAGAAATACATCTAATACACTTTGTAAAAAACTTTTTTCTTGAAAACTTCCAGTGGTGGTGTCATTATCTCATGACGTGAGGGACGGCAATAAGATTGGTTGGTTTGCCTAGACTGTAGCGGTGGATCTCCAGTCTGTGCAGATACCTGCAGAGAACAGTTCTTTGGGCCTCTCTTTAGCTCAGTATTCAACTCAATATTGGATCTACCAGGGAATTCTCTGGTGGGTCCTGACCTGAAATTGTCCCTTTACTTCTGGACACTGAGCTGTTAGACAAGCAAGGCTCTAGCACATCATGGTTTCACCTGCATACTTATTCTTTATTTACTCTCTGTGAAAAAACCCTCAAACGCCAGGTTCAAGCAACCCCTGTGGGGGAAAACCACTTCAGGTAACACTCACAGGTCTGTCTTGGCAGCGAGGCAGCAGGTAAAGATACACCAACAGCGTCTGTCTTCAGAGGGTGGAATTCAGCCTGACCGGTCCGGTCTCAAAGAGAAGGCGACAGCACAAGTTTGTGAGTTCCTAGCCTGTCCCTACTTGTCAGGAACCTTTCCCTGCCACTATAACTTTCCCTGACAAGTGGGTGCTTTTTCCCTATTCAAGCGACTTTTGCAAAATGCATGCCAAAACAAGGGGGCAGGGACATATAAAGGCTCTGCTGACGCAAGATGGCCACCAGAGGTCACCTGGATGCAGAGTAACCAACTGGAACACTGCCTTTAGGGCCCAGGAAACCATAGAGAAACTATGTTTCTCCAGACTTCCTCTCCACGGAAGACCTAGGAAAATATAAGCAGAGGTAAACCACATGTTAGAAAGCTTAGCAGATGCATAGATGTACACTGCTTACAATATAGGTAAAGCTCAACATTTGCTGTAAACGAGTTTCCTTATGGATCCTTTCCTTATGTTACTGGTAGTTTGCTTACCTACACCCTGTTCCAAATTATTATGCAAATGATATTTTTCTCATTTACCTACATAATTTGTATAACAGGCTAGCATAATTCTTTAACTGTAAGAGTACAATTCAAAACTTGACAAACCTCCAGAGGATAACAATTAACCACTTGACCTCCAGAGGTATTACCCCCCTTAATGACCAGGCCTCTTTTTGCTACTCGGCGCTGCACTAATTAAACTGATAATTATGCGCGGTCATGCAATGCTGCACCCAAACGAAATTTACGTCCTTTTTTTCACACAAATAGAGCTTTCTTTCGGTGGTATTTGATCACCTGTGCGCTTTTTATTTTTCACGCTATAAACAAAAAAAGACCAAAAATTTTGAAGAAAAACAATATTTTGTACTTTCAGCTATAAAAAAATATATAGTAAACTCAAAGTTGGTTATAAATTTAGGCCAAATATGTATTCTGCTACATGTTTTTGGTAAAAAAAATCCCAATAAGCGTGTATTGATTGCTTTGTGTGATAGTTAAAACATCTACAAACTATGGTATAGATACTGCAATTTACGCCATTTTTTTGCGAAACAGCGTTGCGCTAGTTTAAATGGACAATTGCACGGTCATGCAATATGGTAGATAAATTAAATTTACATCCTTTTTTTCCCCACAAATTGAGCTTTCTTTCGGAGGTATTTGATCGCCTGTGCAGTTTTTATTTTTTGCACTATAAAAAAAAAGGCTGACAATTTTGAGGAAAAAAAACAATATTTTGGACTTTTTGCTATAAAACATGTACAGTAAAAAAAAATTTAAAAATCAAATTTAGTCATAAATATCTGCCAAAATGCATTCAGCGACATGTCTTTGCTAAAAAAAAAAAACCCAATACGTGTAAATTAATTGGTTTACGTGAAAGTTATAGCGTTTACAAATGGCGGGAAAGATACTGGGATTTTTAGTTTTTTTTTATACTAATAATGGCGGCAATCAGCGACTTATGGTGGCGATCAGCGACTTATGGCGGGACTGCGGCGGACATTCTGACATTGGGGGGTACTGACTTGGGGTCACTGACATCCCAGTGACACCAATACAGTGATCAGTGCAAAAACAAAAACACTGACACTGTACTAATGGCACTGGGGAGGAAGGGGTTAAGTTTATTATTCAGGGAAAGGGTTAACTGTGTGAGGGGAGTGTTTTACTAGGGGGCGGGGGGGTGTGTACTGCAGGGAACAGCGCTGATCGGGAGAGAGAGAAACTCTTCTGTCCCGATCAGCGCGTCCTGGAGCTGTCAGGGAACTGACAGAAAGCACAGCTACTGCAGCTGTGCTCTCTGTCAGCGATTGCCGCCGATCGCCGGGACAAAGCCGGTAACGACCGGCTGTGACCTGGCGACTGACATCTGCGGCTGTGATCGGCGGGACAGGTAGGGCGGCGGCGCGCCCCCTACCTGATTTCAAAACACATGATTTAAAACGTGCTTTTGCCCAGCCGTGCCGCCCTGCCGCCTATTTCTACAGTGGCTGGGCGGCATGTGGTTTAAACATAAAAAACTTACAATGCACTGTTCCAAATTATAACGCACAGTAAGTTTCAAAACACCTTATAGGTTGTAAAGAACTGAAAATTGTAATTTGTTGTGTTTACAGCATATTTACTGAAATCAAAAGCTATTTCAATCAAACTTTTAACAACATTTTAACTTTATAAACATTTTAACAGGTCACGTTACATTGTAACATAGGACCCCTTATTTGATAGCAGCTTCACAAGTCTTGCATCCATTGAACTTGTGAGTTTTTGGACAGTTTCTGCTTGAATTTCTTTGCAAGATGTCAGAATAGCCTCCCAGAGCTGCTGTTTGGATGTAAACTTCCTCCCACCCTCATAGATCTTTTGCTTGAGGATGCTCCAAAGGTTCTCAATAGGATTGAGGTCAGGGGAGGATGGA